CGGACCACAGCGTTAGCGGGGCAAAGTGACGGGAGCGTTTCTTCAGAAGTGACTGGAAGCCCCTGGGGAAAGCAGAGCTCGCAGCATCCGCCACCGGCTGGAGAGGGAAAGCTGCTCCCGCACAAACCATTCCTGCGCGGTCAGAACAAGTAAGTAATCCAGAGCGGTGCCAGTCCTAGGGCGACTCCAGCACACCCCCAGAGAGAGCTGGCAACGTTTCATGGTCCTTGGCACTCTGAAGAGTAACCCAGGGAGTCCGCAGTGGGATCTCCGCGAAGTAACGCCTCTCTCCTAAGCTGTCACCAGAGGTCTGCGGGCAGACACTCTGGAACAAGAATGCTAAAAAGCAGGTGAGATGTACCCAAAGGCCCGTCTCCTGAAATTTTTTTCTGGCGAGCTTTGTCTCAGTTCATCGCCAGCAAGAGGACACAGGATGGCATTTCATGCGTGGAATTTTAATGATAAATTTATTATATTTTAGTGTATTATTGGCGTCCGATGTTGTAGTCTTACAAGAAATTTCCGTTTCCACATCTCCATTAAATGTCTGATTCATTTTCTTGGCTCGTGGTAATGCCTCAGGCTACATCACTGAAGAATCAGTGATCTGCATTAGATAAATATAAGACCAAGTCTGATTAACCTATTAACTATTTTTAATTAACTTTTACTGTTCTTCAAATATTCCGTGTTTTTGAGGAAGCAGAAAGAGGATGAGAGCAGGCTGGTGCTGTAAAGATGTATAGAGCTAGCATATGGACCGAGATTATTCATCATCATTGGCAGCAGCTCTGCTGTAGGGAATCTTGCAGCAACATCACAATTTTCCTGCTAGAGTGAATGTCATAATGGACACATTTGCGGGGTGACTTATGGCCGAGATAGAAAAAAAAAATTTCAATCTTTATAGCGTTTTTATGCTCTGTCTTCCTTTTTGGTAATCAGATCTTGATTAAGAGTTCGAATTAGCACCTAGAAGAACATTATGCTTTCCTGGCTCAGCTCCTTCCCACGATGTAGGGCAGGCAACAAATGATTCAGTGGCTTTACAGTGCTGCTACAACAAAAAGGTGTCTATATACCTATCCACCACTTTAGGAAAATAACCGGCTGCTTGCTTGCAAGGAGGAACATATGGTAGTGGCAAAATATTTTATTTGCTAAATAAAGTGACTGCTTCATTTAGTTCAGACAGTCTCCTCTCATAGCCACGATGACTTATTAGGGGAAAAGCTGGGCAAGGTGGGGTTCACTGTCTGCTGCTGGGCGCTGGAGCAGCTCTGTGGGGCAGAGCAGCCCTTCCCTCGAGGGCAGCACTCGCACAGCCGGACCCCGCGGGCGGCACGATGCTGCAGTGCGGTCCTGTCTCGTCAGCTTGAAGAACATCTGGCCCTGCAATACCAAAGCACGTTCGACCTTTTAATTTTAGGTGTCCTTATGGTTTGGTTGGGTTTGTTGTTTTTTTTTTTTTCCCTTTCAGATACGCTGGGACCATTCCGGTCGAAGTGAATTTTGGAGGCTTAGCTGCTCCAGCACTCGTATTTCCTATGACTCGAACGAGCAGTGCAGCTTTTTAGCTTTTTTTTTTCCTTCTTCTTTTTTCCCCCTTTTATTATTTTTTTTTTTTTTTCTGACAACGCTTCTTCTGCGTACCTGTGAATTCATTCACACGTCTTTACTTCCTCGCAGGGAGGCTGGGCTCTTCATCGCACTTCAGCCCCTCCCTGCCCCCAGCCCCCGCCCCTCGCAGCCCGGGACCCCACTGTCCCCGCTACCCTGCTGTCCGGGGGCTCTGCAGGCTACTTCCCCGAGGCCCTGATGGGATTCCGAGGGAGCTGCCCTCCTCTCCCGGCTTTGCATCTTCCGGCTTGCCGCTCGGCCCCGCTCTCCGCTGCACCGGCCGCCGGCCGGCCGCTCGCTCCTCCTCTCCGCCCTCACCCCGCTCTCGCCCTGGCGGCTGCTCTCTCTTTCATTATTAGACTTAGTCGTTGCTCCATCTGAAGCGGCGAAGCGACGATGAGACCCCGTGAAACTGGTGAAATGCAGCCGGGTATTGGTGAGCAGCCCCGGCTGCAGCGGGTCCCGTCAGTTACCCCATCTGCTCAAGAAGTACTTCGGCTGAGGCGTTTCCACACTGCGGCTTGCTCACCCTGTCAGGGAAGTTTGTTGCTGGGGTGGGTTTCACCCCCACCGCTGCCTGGGGTGCTCACGGTGTCCCCGTGAGCGACGCAGCTCAGCCCAGGCTGCCTCCTGAATTACTTTGCCTCACTACTTTAGCTTAGGGACTGACTGCTCTAGCTTAGGGAAAACAGAAGCTGAGTATGGAAAAGGAACCAAATATTAATGTTTTCGAATACTTCGGTTGTTAAAGACGGAGAGGAGGTAATTCTGGTGTCTGCTTTTGAATCCGTTTCTCATGCAGGGGCAGCCCTTTGGGCGCCATCCCACCTGCGATGCTATCTTTAGGGAAGCAGTTGCACGAGGAGACCCCCAAATAAACACTCGTTTTTTCAATATGCCATCAGCTTCTTACAGTAGAAAGGGAGGAAAAGCTCTTGTGCTGGAGGGATCGTTTTGTTTTACTTCCGCTAGAAAACAAGCCGAGAGGTGCCGGGCGGCGAACTCCCGGCCGGGCCGGGAAAGCGGCGCGGAGCGAGGGGAAAGGGCCGGTACCGCCGGTACCCGCCGGGCCGAGGGCGGTACCGTAGCTCGGGCCGGCCCGGCAGGACGGCGCTGGGGGCTCAGGGCACGCTTCCCCGCCAGCGCAGACCCGCGGCCGAAGTTGCCGCCGCTGCCGGTGCCCGGCCCTGGCAGAGTTCCCTCGGGGCGCTGCGAGGAGGGAGGCAGCGGGTCCGGGCCGGGGGAGAGCCCCTGCCCCCGCACCGTCTAGTCTGCAGGAGGGAGGAAAAGAGGCTCCCTTGGGTGCTGGACACGCAGCGGGGCCGCTCCGCGCCTTCCTCAGCACTTACAAAAGCAGTTTAGCATTTCTATCCCCCCTAATTCAAATGCAAATCGGTCTCTTTGAGAGGCGGCTCCCCCCTCTCCGGAGCTGAGCTTGGGCACGGCCGGGGCTGCGGGGCCGGCCGTGCGGGGCTGTCGCGGCCGAGCGCTCGCTGGCTCCTCTGCAACCAGCAGGAAAACACTTTTTTTGTTTTTTCTTTTAGAATATTTGCGAAGTGACAAGAGGACAAAGAAAAAAAAAATCAGACTGGGAGATTTAACTTAAGCTTCCCGGAGGTGCCCTTTTTGTGGTTGTGCCAAAGTAAAGGCGAGGCAATATCCTGCGTGCCCTTTCTACAAATGTATTCAGCAAATTTATAATTTAAACTAAAACAATTCAGAACAACAAGGGATTATTTAGAAATAAAAGGGAACATCGTTGCAGGTAGAGCACCAACCTCCTCTTTAGCTAAGATTCGTAATTAAAATAAAATTAATTTTCACATCATCCCGTTTTTCCACGCTCGAGGTAAATAGCGCTCCCCACAGGTACAACACACGGGCACAGACAGCACAGGGTAAAAATTGTTCAGGGTGATTTTGCATCACTCTTTCGTAGAATGCTCTTTAGGGGACAAATAGGAATTTTTTTTTCCCCTTGCAGCCTTAGGCTACGGGAATTGCCGTGAGCAGCCGGGGGCACTGGGCACAAGTGTCCAGGGACGGGGACCTCGGGTGTACAGCACCGGGCAGTGCCCGGGCAGGAGGGGCCAGACCCGGCGGCACCAACACCCGGTTCCAGCGGGGACAGAGAGCATCCACACGGTCCAGAGGCGTGCGGGAAGGGTCCGCACCATCCGCATCCCAGGGAAACGCCGGGGTAGGCCCGGCCCGACCGGGACTCGTGCAGCTCTGCTCTCTGGAGTCGCTCCCAAGGCACAGAGACAGAAAGACAGCGAGAGAGAGAGAGAGAAAGAAAGGAAGAAAGGAAGAAAGGAAGAAAGGAAGAAAGGAAGAAAGAAAGAAAGAAAGAAAGAAAGATGCAGACAGATAAAATGATGGGGGAAACGGAGAAATTAAATGAGAGAGGGGAAATAAAAAGAGAAGGAGAGAGAAAATTAAAAAGGAAGTGAAACGAGAAAGTAAAGGAAAAAGAAATAAAATGTAGAAAAATAAATTGCAATTTAAAAAATAAAAAAGGTAGAGAAAGGAAAAAACAAAGGAAAAAGGAAGCAAGAAAGAAAAGGAAAAAATAAGAGAAAAAAGACAAAAAAGGAAAGCGAAAGGGAGAAAAATAGGGAGAAGAAAGAGGAGAGGAAAAAGGGTAAACAAAAGCGAAAAGTAAAAGGAAACGAAAAGGGAAAGGAAAGAGAGGAAAATGAGAGGAAAAGGGAAAAGATAAAGAAGAGGAAAGAGGGAAAAGAAAAAAGGAAAGGAAAAAGAGGAAAAAGGAGAGGGGAAAGGAGAAGAGGGGGAAATAAAAGAAAAGCCGGGAGAGGGGAGCCTGGCGAGTCCGAAGTTGGTGGCGGAGCGGGCGCGGCGCGGGTGGGCAGGGCCGGCTGCCGCCCCGCCCCCGNNNGCCGCCGCCGCCGCCGCGCCCGCTGTCGGCCGTGCCCCCGCTAAAGGAGGCAGGGAGCGGGGCGGCGCGGCAGTGCGCCCCGAGCCGCGCCCGCAGCCCCGACAGCAGGCGGCAGGAACCGCGCCGGGAGGGATGCGGGGCGCCGGGAAGGAGGCAGGGACCGCCAACGCAGCCCCCGCGCCGCTGTGAGCCCCCGGCCGCTGGCGGGCAGCGGGAGCGGCGGTCTGTCAGTGCAGGCGCACGGCCGCTGCGCAGACACTCGCGTACAGCCGCCCTCCGACAGCACCGCCGCTTTCCGTCCCGGGAGCGTCCGCCGAGGCGCAGCCCCGATGCCCGGCGGGACGGCGGGGCCGCCGCTCGGGCGTGTAGCTCCCCGCTAGAGGCGGCGGCCCCCGCGGGCTGGATGCGCGTCGCCGGTGCGGGCGGCACCCCCGNCCGTCCGGGCCCCCCGCCCCGGGCCGGCGGCGGCGGCGGCACGGGGATGCTGGCGCTGGGGCAGATGGACGGCGCGCCCCGGCAGGGCGCCTTCCTGCTGGGCAGCCCGCCGCTGGCCGCCCTGCACAGCATGGCCGAGATGAAGGCGCCGCTGTACCCCGCGTACCCCCTTCCCGCCGGGCCAGCCTCCTCCTCCTCCGCCTCCGCCTCGCCCGCCTCCGCCTCGCCCTCGCCGCCCCTCGGCTCCCCCGGCCTCAAGGCGCCCGCCGCCTCCGCCGCCGCCGCGGGCGGGCTCTCGGCGCTGGGCACGGCCCCGCCGCAGCTCTCGGCCGCCACCCCGCACGGCATCAACGACATCCTCAGCCGGCCCTCCATGCCCCTGCCGGGCGCCGCGCTCGCCTCGGCCTCGCCCTCCGCTTCCTCGGCGGCGCCCGCAGGGCTGCTGGCCGGGCTGCCCCGCTTCGGCAGCCTCAGCCCCCCGCCGCCGCCGCCGCCCGCCCTCTACTTCAGCCCTGGGGCCGCCGCCGCCGCTGCCGCCGTGGCCGCCGGGCGCTACCCCAAGCCGCTGGCCGAGCTGCCCGGCCGGACGCCTATCTTCTGGCCGGGGATGATGCAGAGCCCGCCGTGGAGGGACGCCCGCCTCGCCTGCGCCCCCCGTGAGTACCCAGCGTCGCGGGGCAGCAGGGGGAAGAGCGCGGGGAGCCCCGGTGGGAGTCCGCTCCTGGTGCTAGGGAATCCCCGCGCCCCGGCATCGCTGTAAAACCCTTCCACCCCTCCACCTAGGGCCCGGCCGTAGCCGAGGGGGCTGGCTTTGCCTCGATTTCTTTTATTTTCGTTCTTAAATTCGTTTTGCCTTCTCTGTTCCCTCGGTCAGCGCAAAACTCTGTAATATGTCGCCGATTATCGCCGGCGAAAAGCGAAGCCCTCCGAGGGGAAATTGGCAGCGCTGCCGCCGGGGCTGCTGGGGACTCTCGGGGTCGGGGTTGGCTTTAGGGGCGCGCAGAAACTTTCCCCGAGCAGGACTTTCTGCTACCACCCGCTGCTACCACAGGGCACGGCTCTTAAAGAAAAAACTATCATTTGCCTGCTCAGATTTTTGTTCCTTAAAGGAAAAATAATCAGGGAGAGCCGAAAGGCCAGAGCCGTCGCCTGGCTTAGGCAGTAGTTTTCTTACACACGCACCCCCCGCGTAGAGACCCCTCCGTCCCCTGGGGCCGCTTGAGGGTGAAGCGCTTTCCCAAATCCGTAGATTAACTTGTCTGTCCCTGCCTTCCCTTTCTCTCCCCCCTCCCTTCGCCAGATCAAGGCTCAATTTTGCTGGATAAGGACGGAAAGAGAAAACATACAAGACCCACTTTTTCTGGCCAGCAGATTTTCGCTCTGGAAAAGACTTTTGAACAGACGAAATACCTGGCGGGCCCGGAGCGAGCCCGGCTGGCCTATTCCCTGGGGATGACGGAGAGCCAAGTAAAGGTGAGAGCAACAGCTCACGCACCGAGTGGTGCAGGGCTGGAGGAGCGGGGAACAAAAGGGCCCCACTGCGGAAACGGGGTCCCGTCTGAACCAGCCGGAGATGCTGCGGGCTGGCGTGGCCGAGCCCGCGGGCACACGGCGAGGGCTTCCCCAGCAACCACCGGCATTTCTCCGCTTATTGCCTTACTGCGGGGCCGAGAAGGTTGTTTTAAAGCATTTTTAAAACCAATCAAATTGAACCAAACAAACCCAAGCAAGACTGAGAAGCCCTGAACACCACGGAGGTGGCCAGCGTTCTGGGAAAGCCGGGGAAAGGGTGATGTTAGGGCGTCTCACTGCCGCACGCGCACTCTTACGTTTAGGTTAAAAACTCTGTGCTTTGGGCAAAGTGGAAGTGTGAGGGGTTGGGAGAGCGGGCTGAGCTTCCCGAGAATATGCAGAGGCGTTTGCTTGGCGGACTGGGCCAGAGGGGCCCCTCGGCGATGCTCGCGCTTTCAGTCTGATCTGCAGAACCTCCTTTGTCACAGCAAATACGTCCCGATGGCTGCGAATAAATTATTGCAGCTTCCGCAATATAAATGCCCCCCTCGTCTGGCAGCGCCCTGTCGGAGACTAAATACATCTGGCCGGGGAGGGGGACTGGGAAAGGAATCAGCCCCAAATGTGTGTTTGCCCGCCCCAGGCAGGATGGCAGGGAGCGGCCCGGGCCCGACGCGGGCCTCGGGGCATTGGGGGAGGCTGCGACCCCCGCGGGGTGCGCCCCGTGCCGGGCCGGGTGCCGGCGGCTGCCGGGGGCGCGGTGCCTCGGGGATCGGCCGCTTTCGTTGTGGGGAAATTGCCTGGAGGGCGGCGAAGCGGAAATCGCTGCCGCGGGCCGGGGATGGGACTGACAGGGCAGCGGGGTGGGAGCGGCCCGGTCCGGCCGCCGCAGGTGGCCGTGCCGGTGATGGTGACGGTGGCGGCGGGGGCAGGTCTGGTTCCAGAACCGACGGACCAAGTGGCGGAAGAAGCACGCGGCGGAGATGGCGACGGCAAAGAAGAAGCAGGACTCGGAGACGGAGCGGCTGAAGGGCACCTCGGAGAACGAGGAGGAGGATGATGACTACAACAAGCCCCTGGACCCCAATTCGGACGATGAGAAGATAACGCAGCTCCTGAAGAAACACAAGCCGGGGGGCGGCGGGCTGTTGCTGCATCCCCCGGAGGGGGAGGCCTCCGTCTAGCCTGCTTCGCCAGCCGCCGCTTTCGGAGATGTACAGATCTATTTTTCTAGACTCTACGCGCCCGGGAGGAGGAGGAGGAGACGCCGGAGGGAGAGTAGAGAGGACTGCGGGCAGCGGACCCCGGCGGGCCCGCCCGGTCCCCCGCGCCTCGTGTTGTTGTAGGGTGGCGGGCGGAGGGGAGCGGCGGGGCTGGCCCGACCCCGGCCCCGCTCCCGGCCGTGCGGCGGCCGCGTCTTTGCTGGCTCTTTGTAAATAAACCGTGAGTCACCGCGACCATAGGCGTTCCTTACTGTGAATATTTAAAATGTAATATACGTTTTGGTTGTTTTTTTTTTTTTTTGGTACAGCGGGGGCCGAGGGCGCAGCCGTCCTGCCCGCCCCGCGCTCCCCGGCAGCACCAGGGGCACCGCGGGAGCCCCCGAGACGGCGGCAGCGGGGCCGCCGAGGAAAAGCCGTCGTGGCCGCCACAGGTCCTTCCCTCGGGCCGAAACTGCAGCGGCCCCGCGTGCTATTTATTAGTATTTTTGAAACACTTTCTGTTGCGGTCGTCGTGCAAGGGAGGGGGGGGGCGGGGGGAGAGGGCGGAGGGACAGAGTTTGCTTTCATTTACACCGTTTCCAATCAACCGCGCGTTGAAAAAGTAGCTGGTGGGAATTGTCACAACCACTGTCAGTCAAAAGTATAAAATTAATTTAGTTGCTGTATTTGAATTTAAAGTGTGTTTTCTTTTGTATCATACCGAATACTAGAGAATGTAAATTGTTTTTTCTTTTTTTTAAAGCTAATAACGATGATATATCGTGATATAGCATCTTAACATTTATTAATTTATATTAAAAATAATTCGGTTTGTAAAGAGAAGAAAAGCCCTTTGCAAGACCAGTTAAATGTAATGCACTTTCTGTTAAAAAAAAAAAAAAAGCAAACAAAACAACAAAACGATAAATCAATTAAACCAGTTTAAAGACGTCTGCTGCCTTCACTAAAGGGTACAGATAATCTCATTTTATCAGAGATTAAATAATGAAACCACGGTACAGGGGGAGGAAAAAAAGGAGAAGAGATAATTTTCATGGTCTTCTGTTGATTCTTAGTAGCAGGGTTTTTGTTGTTTGGTTTGTTTGAAGATTTTCGGACGCTTTTTATTTTTTTTTTTTCTAAAAAGATTGGAAGTTGACTATTTTGCTGTGGGAGTTCAAGAAGGATACAAATAAAATAAGCCGCTGGTTGTTCGGAAACGTGAGCGGGCAGGTAGTTTCTACCCGACCACTGGAGAGGCTTGGCTCAGCCTAAATTAGGCTGTTTCAACTTCCTCAGAGGCAGGCAACGCAGGGCTTTATTAACGGCAGAGTGTTACCACCATTATTATGGGAAATAAACCGCTTTCCAAGAAGAAAACAATGGATGAAAAAGGAGCCCGGCTAAGTGTCTAGAACAAATAGACCCAATATCAGAACAACTGGTTTAAATTGAAACTCATTATCTGAAGCGATCATTTCCATATCTAAACAGTCCAGGAACAATCGCCTCTTTTTTTTTTTTTTTTTTTTTTTTTTTTTTTTTTTTTTTTTTTTTTTTTTTTTTCCCTTCCCAAGGACCATCAGAGCAAACAGAATAGCTGATATGAGAGAGAAAAGGGGCCAGCTATTCTGGAGGAGATAAATAAATAAATAATTTAGGAATAATTTTCTAAACAGAAAGAAAAAGGGGGTGGGGGGGAAAGCTAGAGCAGGGTTTTACTCCTCTTTCGGCTTTACACAAAGCCGGGGCCGGAGGAGGGAACGAGCCCGGAGCTCTGCGGCTGCCCCGGCTCTCCCAGGCCGGGGTACCGGAGGCTGCCCATCGCCCACCGGCAATCCCACTCCCACCCCCATCTTTCCCGGCTAGTTGTAAAGGCAGGAAGGGAAAGGCCGGTCGTTTCCCAGAGCGCTGACTCGGCCCTGCCGGCTCACGCCGTTGCGATATCCCCGCGGGTTTTGAGGGGCGGCTGGAGAGAAACCAAAATACCGCGGGGTCCGGACCACGGGGCTGGGGACCCGCCGGAGCCCGGCTGGGGGTCTCCGCCCGCACACCCTCAGCCCCTTTCCCCGGCGGCCACTCCGCGGCCCCGCTCCCCAGCGGCCGGCTCCCGGCCCCTGCCCGGGGCTGCTGCGAGTGCTCCGGCCGTCCCCGGCCCCTTTTCCAGTTCACCGCAGCACCGACTGAGGCTTTCCAGTTAATTTACTTCTGCACAGAGACCCAGCTGGCCACCAGTTGCAGTTGGCACCGTCAAAGTGGAATCGCAGGGAAAAGAGCCCAACGCTGTCCGCTTGGTTAGGCTGGTTTTGTCTCGGGCGCTGGAAGAAAGAGCAGGGGATTCACACGAGCTCACGGCCCCCCTTTTCGGGACATGTTTTGGAAGCCAAAGCCGGCTGGGCTCCTTCTCCAGGAAAGGACTTTTTAGGAAGAGATTCAATAGCTGACTCTGGATCTCTGCCACGGACAGCACGGTGAACAATTAAAAGACAAATGTCAGCTGGCTTCACGGGGCACGAGGTTCCCCCCGTGCGCGGGGGCCTGGCCGAGATCAGCTGCAGCTTCGGCTCAGTCCTTCACGCAGGCAGGAATTTGTGACGGAACTGTATAAACTCCAGGAAAACGACATATTAAAAGTGCTGCAGAACCGTGTCCATAGGGAATGGGGCCGGTGAAACAGCTCCCCGGCAGCCGCCCCTAGCTCGGGCCCCGGCCGAAACCCCCGTGGGGAGTAAGCAGCTGCGCACACGCGTGGGGAGGAGCGGGCGCTGGCTGCGCGGCCGCGGAGCGGGGCGGGAGGCCCCTGCCTAAGCGGTGAGAGACCACCGCAGGCCGCTCCCGACAGCTCCCTTCGCACACGGCTTTTGGCTTTCCTTTCCTTCTGTCACAGAGCCCTCGGTTTTAAATCCCACTTCCTTCCGCGTGCGGAACTTCCAGGCTCAAAGGAAATAAAAACAGCTGTTTCTGGGATTTCCAGGCTCAGGGGAAATAGAGGCGGCTGGGTTTACCCTGCCTCGGCCCCTGTCATGTGCCTTTTCTGGGGTGCAGAAGATATCGCGGGAGAAGTTCCCGGCTGTGCAATCCCAGAGTGCCCAAAGCATCCTCCCTACTTTTCCGACGCCCCTTCTTTGTCGAGGTACTTCGCAAAAGGAACCTTCTGCGGTGCGTCTCCAGCCCAAGCGAGCGTCACCAGGGACAGAGGAAAAACTTTTTCTTCCCTGTAGAAGCGCCCCAGGCACCGGACCCAGTAGCCGTGGGCATCGCGGGACTGCGAGGAGAGATGGAGGGAGGGAGGGAAGGGAGGGAGGGAGGGAGGGGAGGTACGGGAAGCAAAAGAGGGACCGTGGGCCACCCCACCGCCCGCACCCCACTCCCGGCCGGCAGCTGCTGCCTGCGGGACGCATGCATATGGATGTAGACATATGGACGCGGGCAGGTTCCGCACCGCAGTGCCGCAGCGGGGACACAGGTTATAAGGGGAAGCCCACGGCCGGCGGGCGGGAGTGGCCGCTGGGAGGGGGAAAAGGAAGAGCTCTCCTCTCTCCGCGGGGTAGCGAAGGGGCCGCTCTACTCGGGGCGTGTGCCCTGGGGGGAAGCCAGTCCGTAGGCCGCTGTCACCCGGTCCCCGACAAGGCCATACACCAGCGCTGTCACAGCCCCGAGGCCTTCGGACTCTCTCATTCCCACAGCAACTCCCACCCAGAGCCCCCGGCGCAGGCAGCAAGGAAGGCAATGCCTACATCCTGCCAGAGGGATGCCCATACCGACAGCGCGACCATTTCAGCGAGCGATGGCTTCTCCCGCCCTTTCCCTCACGAGTGGTCTCTTGTGATGAGCTCCTGAAATCCCGTTATCGCTCATCACTTCTCAGTGCTATTAATTTTTAACTCTTCCCATATAACACGCACGCCGTCTTCCCTCCACTCTCGCTCCGTTTGCTGCCGGGATGTTATTTCGTGCAAGACTTTCGTTGTGTCCCTGCCAGCCGCCTCGAGGCTTATTTGCTTTAGGCACCCCTTCCCTAGGGACATGAGTCGTCCCTCAGGCCAAAGTACACGGGGGTTAAAAGGAGGGTGATGGGCTTTCACCCCCGGCCCGGACACTCCGAGATAATTCCAGCATCGCGGCCGCGGGGAGAGGGAGCACTAGGAGCTTGTTGCAGGATGAACCTCTCAGAGCCGGCGTCACTAGCCGCAAATTAAAAAGTCAGATGAACTGCTCCCTCCTAATTGCAGCTCTGCCTTTACCTTCTGCACCGATAGGTACTTCCCAAATACGCGTTTCTGGCGGCGTTTGCCAGCTGTCTCCAACAGCGGTTGCAAGTCTCCGTGAGGGATGCAAACATCTGCCGGGGAGGAGGAGGCAGTGCTGCCGCGGGGAGCAGCGGGCACCGCACACTGCACCCGCACCGAGCCCGCACCGCGCCCGGCAGCGCCTCCGCGCCCAGCCAACGTGGTTGATAAGAATAAAGTTATTGATACCAGGGCACGAGCAGGCGGCACCGCGCCTCTCCGCATCTCCCGGGGGTTCAAGCCTTGCCCGGAGAGCCGGGGCTTGCGGGAATCTCTCGGCGGGGCCGGTCGGTGCCCGCGCTGCCCTCCGGGGCCGGCGGGCTGCGGGGAGCGCCTGGCACCGGCCCCGCGGCAATAACCCGCTTCCGCACACGCAAGTGCATCCCTGTAATAACGTCCTCGATCATTTATTAGAAGTCGTGTCAAGCGAGCCCACATAATTCATCTTTATGCAAATACATCAATGTCAAGCCATTAGTGTATTGCTCGGGTTTTTTATTAAAGTGCATTCTTTTTAATTCAGCTCAGTAAAATACGAGCCCTATTGCTCAAGAATTATAGCAACTATTAGAGTAACATATGGGCAACATGCACTCAGAAAATAAAAATCAACAGATAAAGTGGCAGGGTCACAACGGGGAGCAAACACTTAACAAAATGGCAGCGGGGTAATAGATTTTCCGCCCGCGCCCC